GAGTACCCTCAGCATCTTAAATTCAATATTGCCAAAACTGGACTCATTATCTTTGCCCCTAAACTAGGGATTCTTCAGCTCTTTTGGACACCTCTGGTAACAACCTGTCTCGGGAAGCCTATGCTCCTCTTCTCAGAACTGTATTTTTAAATGAAGAAAATGAAATAGGATAGTAAGGGAGACCAATTATATTGAAATATGGTTATCAGAATATTAATAAAAACAAGTCCACAGATCCCAGGTCTTAAAACCCTGTCTTAACCCCACCCCACCCCCTTTCCAGACTTCACTATTTGGTAAGGGTACCACCATCCTCCCAACTGGTTTTCCTTCCTCAGGCTGCTCCACTTCCACCCAGCTGCCCCCCAAGTGATTCTTCTAGAGCGCAGGTCAGACCCTGTCACTGGCCTCTTCAGTACATTCCAGGGGCTCCCTAATGCCTCTAGGGTCACAAAATTGTATATCATTAGAAACAGAAGAGATGTTAGAAATCATCTAGCCTGGAAACTGAGGCCAGAGAGATTAAGGGAAATACCAGACCCCACACGTGTGTGGGCAGCAAAGCTGGGGCTCCACTTCCCCCGGTCAGGATCCCTTTGATTTGCACAGATGCACTCACGTCCAGACCGTTTGCACCTTTTGATGTCATTAACCACCCAGACCATAGATGGAAATGTTCTACAACAAGACACAAAGGGCTGGACAGAGCCCGCAGAGACAGCATTTCTTCTGCTCTCTGGGCTGTCGTGTGCCGGCTGGTGACAACCTGGAGTTGCCCTTTAACCAACCATCTGTACTCCAACGCAGTGGGGAGAGCTCGCCCCATGTGGCCTAGTCCCAGACCCACCATGATGCCTCATTCCACCATCTTCTTATCATGCCATGATCCATTCCCCCACACTCCCACTTTCCACGTCCAGTTCTGAGAACAGTTATCAAATCCCAACTACCAGTCCTAGAATGGAAGGGCCAATCCATTGGGCCATGACCCCACTTCACCTTCTCTGTGATTTCCCAGACCAAAACTCCCTTCCCTGATCACCCCTCCCTCAATGTGTTGTCTTCTCCGGATTAGAATGTGAGCTTCTGGAGGGCAGGACCTCTCTGGCCCTTTGTTATTTGCATGCTCAGCATCTGACACATAATAAACCCTTAATAGATGTTTTTCATTCATTCATTCATTCATTCATTCCTTCATTCATTCAATAGCCCAAGGCCAAAGATAAATCTCCAGGCAAGACATTAGAGCTTCCCTCCAAGCTGACACCAGCAACCTGTTAACAGCTTCCCTTTGGGATAAATAGAAAAGCCAGGACTCTCCTGAACCTCAAAGAGAGGGACGAGAACTTGGGCCTGTGGGACAAGCAGCCCAAGGTAGGTCAACGCTCCCAAGACCCAAAGATTCAGACGACACCAACCATGAAGGATGAAGGATGAGCAGTAGAGCCGCTGAATGGTACCAAGGGCAAGTTTAAAAAGCTCAATTAAACTAACCTGTTTTAACAAAATTATTTGTTTTTGTTGAAATGTCCAGCGCTATCCAAAGGAAACCTAACTCTACTTTAATGAAGCCCCCATCACCCCACCATTATCTGATGATAGTATAGTACAATATATATGTATGCATATATATATTATATATGTATTTACTATATATTATATATATAATATATAGTATATAGTGTGTATATATGTACACAATACATTATGTATGTAATATATATTATATAGTATGTGTATATGTATGTAATATATTATATAGTTTGTACATTATATGTATGTGTTATATATTGTATATGTAATATATTATATAGTATGTCTATTCTATGTACTATATATACTACATATATGTACTATTATATGTACTATATATAATACTATATATGTACTATATATAAATACCATATGTGTACTATATATAATGAATAGTATGTATATTATATGTATGTAATGTGTATATGTGTGTAATACATATTATATAGTATGTTTATTATATGTATGTAGTCTATATATATTATGTATGCAATATATATTATACAGCATGTATATTATATATGTGTACTATATATTAAGTGTGTAATACATATTATATAGTATGTATATTATGTGTATGTAATATATTATATAGTATGTATATTGTATGTAGGTAATATATATTATATAGTCTGTATATTGTATGTAGGTAATATATATTATATAGTATGTATATTGTGTATATGTTCTATATATATATATATATATATATTATATATAGAAAAGCTTTCAGTTTTTCAAAGTAAATCAGTACTTTTTTGGACTCAAAAGGCCCTGAAATGGCAACAACGTCACAGGCCCTAAATAAAAACATTAACACAAGCAATCAGCCCCATTTCTAGGCAAGGCCCAGGAGCACCACCAGCCCAGCCTGACGACCTCCGGAACGTCTCCCAAATGCTCCCCCTCCCTATTTCAGTGCAGGGCTGGGGGTGAGCTTGAGGAGAACAGGGCTGTCCTGAGTGTTTAGGTGGACGCCAGACATGCTCCGTCACCTACAAGAATGAGCTGCTCCCTGAGTCACCCGCACGACACAGCTTCTCAGTGAATTACAATCGATGTGGTTTCAGAAGAGGAGGGAACACGGGAGGCCGGACACAGGAGGCCGGGTCTCCGGCCTCCTCCAGGGGAAGAGCTCACCTGCTTTATCCCCGGCTGTCTGTCAGCAGCTGCGGGGGAGGGGGCAGGTGGGGAGGGCCGGCCATTTCTAGGACAGCAGCTTTGGAGGGTTGCTCAGGAAAGCATCCCATGGTCCAATCCCCCAGGGCTAGACGTGATCTCCAGCACAGCCTCTCCAGCTGTGGGGCCCCCTCCACATCCTGTTGCTTCGTCACATACACACACACACACACACACACACACACACACACACACACACACACACTGGAGCAAGCCCAAGGCTCTCTGTGAGGCTCCACTGCCGTCTGCACTTTTGAAGGCTGGGCCCAGCTGGGCCACGTGGGGATGGCATTCATGGCAATGAGGCAGCTCAGGGGAGCAGTGGAGAGAGGGCTGGGCCTGGAGGCAGGAAGATCTGAGCGCAAACCTAGCCTCGGACATCTACTAACTAGGTGATCCTGCACAAATCACTAAACCTCTGTCTGCCTCAGTTCCTCGATCTGTAAAATGGGGATATTAACAGCACCTATCTCACAGAGTTGTTATGAGGATAAAATGAGACAATACTTGTAAAGCATTACACAAACCTGAAAGCATTTGAAATGCTAGCTATTGTGAATATGGTTGTCACTGTTGTTAGTATTATTATGGCAATCTGGAAATGGACAGCTAGGTGGTGCAGTGGATAGAGACTGGAGTCAGGTAGACTCATCTTCCTGAGTTCAAATCCAGCCTCAGACACTTCCTAGCTGTGTGACCCTGGGCAAGTCATTTAGCTCTGTTTGCCTCAGTTTCCTCATCTGTAAAATGAGCTGGAGAAAGAAATGGCAAACTACTCCAGTATCTCTGCCAAGAAAACCCTAATGGGGTCATGAAGAATAGGGCACAACCAAGCAACAACAATCTATAAATCTGCCAAAAGGACCCTTGGATGGGTTAGTCAGGGGGTCATTTCTATGGTAGGCAATGCCAGGATTATGCCTGCCATTTTACAGACAAAGAAACTGAGGCCAGAGAGAGGTTAAATGACCCGGCCAGAGGGAGGAAGGCCACAGATGTGGATCAGTGCGTATGTTGTCAGATTTTTTTTTAATGTTTCAATCAGTTTTGTTGAATTTTTTTTCCTTTTCTTCCTCTTTTTCTTTTTAATAAAACTCTTTGTTATACAGGGTGGCTCACTGGGAGGGGAATAGGAAGGTTAAAGGGAAACTTTTGACAATGCAAAAAAAGTGATGTCAATAAAATCTATTTAAAAAACAAAATTAAAATAAAAAAAACACACAGCTATCACATATCAGAGTCAGGATTCAAATCCAGATCTCCCATTCTGCTTGAAAGAAAGGAAAACATAAAGGAAACCGTGGAAAGCCCAGGCCCAGCAGGAAACGACAAGGCGGATCCCAGCTGGGGACACACACCTCGGCTCACGGATCCCAGCTGGAAGGACCTAGGGACACGCCTCATCCCACCAGATCGTTTTAGAGATGAGGAGGAAAGGGAGATACAGAGGTCAAGGCACGGGCC